ACCAGATCCAGGCTAGAGGAACTATCTCAGTGCCTGGGCCTTGTGAGTCCGCTCCGTACTTATTATGAATGTTAACCATAGTGTCAAGGGAAGGAGATCCCTGATTTGTGTTCAGCTGATGAGCTAAGGAGATAGGTTAAATTATTTTTTTTTCTGGTTGAGTTCATTGTTGTCAAGGCAACTCTCTCCATTAGTCATAATTAGATAGAGAAACGTTGGATAGATAGCCTTGATGGTTAAGTTATTGGGGTGTTTTAGCTGCTAAGCATTTGTGAGAGCCAAGAATAATAGGTTATGCATATTATGTCAGAAGGATTGTAGTGAAATAGGAGAAAAAGGTTCTGACCTTTACTGATACAGCTGATTCTTGTTTTTTCTTATACAGAGGCAGCTGCTGCATTAATGAACGATTAAGGAATAGATTAGGAAATCACTGTTGCCCTGAAGTGGCTATCCAGAAAAGTACCCCCCAAGAAGTCCAAAAGTGAGCTAGATGTCTGGTTAATGGAGCGCTCATCGAAACAGTTAGTGCAGACTAGAGAGCTACTAACGCATTATTTGTTTGGCCAAATGCAGGTAAGCACTCATGGTGAGCCGAATACCTCTCAAGATTCTATTGACTATAAAGGCTAGACCTACTTAATATATAGTGGCAATTTAGATGTCTAGTTCATAAATAGGCATTCAATTTGGGTGTGTAATCCGCACATGAAACCCTTATCTCAATGCATCAGTTGCTATTGAAAGTTGCCTTCATTACTGCTGTACCATGTGTTGTTGTGAATGCTTCATCCTCCTTTGTAAGTGCTGCATTTTATAATGAGCTTCTAATGCAACACCACAGTTTCCCCATGATAAAATATTCTTCTGATTACTAAGATTTTACTACTTAAAGCTCACAGGGTTTTGATTGAAAGTGAACCTTTTGGCATTGCTGAGTGTCCATAACAGTATGTGTATCCATGGTAACTACAGAAGAAAAAGTATGAGCGCATAATCCTTCTTAAGTAATACCATGTTATGTTTTTCTTGGTAGACAAAGAGATGCTAGTTATTTATAAGCATATTAAACAGCCTGTGCATATTCAGAGTTGCACATATACTCCTTACCAGAAAAACTGAGGTCATTTTGTTAAAATTGGCAATAGTTCAGATTAGCTTGGCAATGGTTCAGAAATATAGATAAATGAACACAAAGGATTTCTAGAGCTCCTGTTTTGAGTTAAGGTGGGAAAATTAACTTCAGATCAGTCATTTTAGTTAAATCTCCTTTCTCTTAATCTTACATTTTAACAGAGAAGTTATGATTAAATGTGTCAGTCTTGTTCCTTAGCAAAGAAAGACTAAATTATACTGTGGTTAATCAAAACAGATTTTGCACACTCTTAATGTGCTATCTTTGCAAATGATTCAAAAATCAATATGATATCGACTGTACTGATAAGCACTAAGTGATTGGCTAAAATGTAGATATAAATGTTTTCATATGGTGCAAATGATTCAAAAATCAGTATGATATCGACTGTACTGATAAGCACTTTTTCTTGTTTTCTTAATTTAATAAAAATAACAGAATATTTTACACACAGTTATGACTATGATTTAAAAATAAAAATATTTGAACACTATTTCTGTGTTATACTTTCCCACTTTCATCCTGTCTGTCTTGGGATCTGCTGAAACTATAGGACTGTTTTCTTACTGATAAAAAGCAGCAAAAATTGCACAGAGACACAAGTAAAAGGGTTGATGCTTAAGTGAAACAAATCTTAATGCATTAATATTAATAATTACTCCTTCAAGTATTTAGGAGCTATACAGGTATGAATGTGGATGGAAAATAGGTGTACTTGAAGAGACACAATCTTAAAGAACAAAAGCTGTTCTGCTATAAAAGAGGAAAGAAAAAAAATTATATATGGAGAGAAAGGTTTCTAAATGGAAGTTTTTTTCATTTTTCCATGAGAATTCAACTGCTTTTTAATGGGACATAAAAACTGAAGAAAGAATGCAAGCATAGGTTCTGATCCCACAGCATTTTTTTTCTCCAACTGCTGGCCCACAGAAATTTGGCATCCCAGAAATTTGGCTTCCCAGCCATGAAAGTAAATCATTGAGTGGAAATCTGTTTGTTTTCCCCTCAGCTATGAGATACTAAATTTGGGTTTGATGTCCTTCACAATGTCAGAGACATAATCATATGATTAGTACAGCTGACATTTAAAGAAATAACTTTGGGAAGTCTTCAAGTTAGTATTTTCTGACACCATAACTAGGTATGTTTTTTTCCTGTTTTTCTCTTCCCCTTGAGCCATAGGTAGGGAGGCAAGAAAGGATGCTAAATTAAAGTTTAAAGCTGTATTTTGTCTAGCAATCTCATTATTAAATCCAACAAATCCTGAAGATTTTTTTTCATGCAAACTCGGTAAATTCCTCATTATAAATAGAGAAAAGACCAGTGCAGGAATGGTAAGAATCTTGTCATGGACCGGGATCAGTGGAAAACAAAAAGCAGTAAAATCAAATTTTCCTGTAAATATCTGCAATCTTTGAGGAAAGAATCTAGTTTTCAAACTAGAAGTTTCAAAGCCTCTCTAATCCTACACTGGCAAAGCAGGAAGGTAGAAGAACTAGCCCAAATTGTCTTCCATTAGCTGTATTTCTGAAGCTGAAGAGACTGATGACCTCAGGAAGTGGAAGTAATTGAGCTCTAGAAAAAGAACAAACTGATCATGAAGAACTGTAGAATTGGAAATAATCTCAGAAGATCATATACTAATATTCCAAGGCAGAACCAGCTATAACTTTTGCTATTTTGGGTATTTTTTTTCTCTAATCTATGCTTAAAAACCTCAAACGACTTCTCAAGTTAATTACCCCCAGTGATTCAATATCTTTTATCATTTATTATGTTATTCTTATAGTATCTGAGCCAAATTATCTAGGCTGCATGTATTGTCCTGTTCCTGGATAAATTCATGATATGTAGTCATGGAACTAGAATGATCTAGTCTGCTGAGATTTCTTTTGGAAGCAATTTTTCTTCATTAGGAGAAAGATGGCCTAGTATATTAAATAAATTCTCCCCTGGATCCAGAGCGAATCACTTCACTCTTATTTTAAGAGTCTTCCTGGAATCATCAGAGTTTCATTGGGTGAGGTTACCTGGCTCAGTAATAGTGCTGATAAAGATGTTTACAATAACACTGACTGAAGTTTAAAATGAAAACTCTGTTTAAGATAGATAGTACCCTTAAACACTTATATTTTAACAGTATTATATTCAATATACTTGAATACTCATGGGACCTATGTATAGTTCTTTCAGAAGGCTGCATGGGGTAGAAAGATCACCCACTTCTGATAAAAATAGACTGAATTATCTAAGGAAACATGTATGGATCTGGAATTGTGGTTATAATTCACATATCCTTCATCAACAAACACTTTAAATAATTGTTTTAAAAGTATCCATGAAATCTAGATACTCACTATAGTTTTTTTAGAGAAATCTGGCTCCTGAAACAGAACTAAATTATGAAAAACATGGCTATTTTCAATGGCATGAACACAGGATAGAGGAATAGGACTTAGAAATAAGCAACAAGGCCACATCTAGATAGCTTAACCCATTGCACAATTCCTAAGATCTATGCAGACATACATAGATGATGCTGGGTGCTGACCCAGCATACATGTTGATGCTGGGTGCTGACTCCATCTATACTGCTGATTGCTAGAGATTCCATTTTTTCCAGGAGTATAGTCAATGGAAGTGCTGTTCAGACATTTATTTTCTTTTCTGGTCTTTTCCTGTTAATTTACCACATGGAAGTGGGATAGCAGAAGAAGGGACAAAAAGTTTCCAGCATACAGGGCCCTAAGACTCAGACTGGTTCATTGGTAACCCCTTCTGGAGAAAAGCACACATCGTTTAAGCTATGATAGTCTGGGAGTTTCATCTGAGCAGTAATTGTTTTTTCCATATGCTGTACCATGATATCTGAGGTCTGTGGAAGTACTTAAGTGATATCCCTCACATTTTGAAAAGAAGATTCCATGCAAGACTTTCCTCATGGTGCATGCTAAACTTTTGAACTTGCTTCCTTTGTTGATCTGCCACAATAGCATTTGTTAATCTTACAGGGATGGCATAAAGCCCTAATTTTCCCTATGGGCATTTTAAAAGGTGATGGGAAAAAAAATCTAAAATAAATATTAAATATTATTTCTTAATTGGGTCATTGTGTTATGCATAGTATTTACCAGATAATTTTATGTGTATGTGTACTGTGTTAGAGAGGATGTATGATTTAGCAGTAATAATAAGATTTTTGTTTGGGGTTTTTACTCTGAAGACAGCTAAGAAAAATCTTGGAGCTTCCCAAAACCACTCTAAAAAAAACTTTCCAAAGAAACCACAGTGTTACTAAGCCCTTTCATCATTCAGCATACGGCACTGCAGAACACAAAAATATACACTGTACTACTTTAAATTAATTCATATTTGCAGGAGACACAGTCTGTGTGAGTATATGCAATTATGAAACTTGCAACTTTTTTTTTTCCCTCTGACTTTTTTAGCTGCCTCACCCCTTTTATTTGAACACATACATATGGTGTGAGAGAGTTAGCAAGCTCTCTGTAAATGTTTGGAAGGAGCATCTGTCAGACAATAAAATTTACAAGAAAACATGCTTCTCATTTGAAGAGTATTCACTAGAACTATTTCAGGATTGGACTCAGTTCATTCATATAGCTTAGAGGCATTAATAAGAACAGAAAACTGCAGTCACCAGAAAACTCAAACTGTGAGTAAGAATTGAAGGGTTTTTAAAGTGTTTTCAGTATTTGGCATCACAGTCTTCTGATAGGAACCTGAACCAGCTGACATACAGGAAACCTCCAAAAAGATTGCAAGCAAGGAGATGGCATGCTTTTTGCAAACCTGGAAAGTCTAAAGATTACAATAATTGTTGGACCAAAGGGATCCTCTTCAGGCATAAATAGCAAGACTCCTACTGTCTTCTCTTGCAGACCAGCTCAGCTGCCAGCAAAAGCAGGTGCTCTCCCTCTACCAGTGCTCCAGAGGAAATATATAGTGAGTATTTACAGTTCTTTTAACAAATTTATATATTACTAGCATTTCAGTTACATTTGTATAGTTTTCTCAAAGGACAAAAGCATTTTAAAGTAACTTTTTCAGACTGTTATTTTAAACAATTGCTTGAGTCAATAGTCTGATGCAATTACTATATTAATTTAAAAAACAAAATTTGCATAACCTACGACAGTAGCTCTTAAAAATATTGTTCTTAATGCTTAAGTTTAACCATCTGAAACAATTACATTGTATTTTTTAAATGCACAAGTTATGACAGCAAAGTAATTTATATGTATTTGAAATGTATTTGACTTTAAATGTTATGCCATAAAACAGTCTTTTCAGAACACAAATTTAAAATAAATCATTTCTTTTGGCAAAGTAACCTGCAATTTAATCTTTAGAAGAATAAATATACCACTAATGTTTTCCACAGAAACAGTTGCTACTCTAATTAATTCAAGATGTGACTCTAATAAGATTTCAAAAGAAAATCAGAAACAGATTTTCTCTGAGGTAGCACTATGAACAGGGCTAAGATATTTATATTTTCATTAGTAACACTTGTCCTAGATAGAGTTGCAGATTTGTTGTATACAGCATGGAAATATCAAATCTGGAAGCATTATAATAATTTTTAAAAGCATAACAATATTCAGTGCTTTGGATATAGGCTTTCTTTTTGTTATAGCTTACCCTATGTTACATTTTATTAAGTAACTGTTATTCAGTTTTGAGTTTAGGGTGACTAATACGGCTAACAATCTCTTTTTCTTTTCATGTGGAAGGGAATGGAAAACCTGATGTTTGTCTACTGCTCCTGTAAAGTTATCTGGACATTGCTTATAACAATTCTAGGTTACTCCAGCAGCTTGCCTGTGGGTGATGATTCTATTTGCGCAGCAGAGGAACTTGCTAAATACAGCATAATCTTTACAGGGAAATGGAGTCAGACTGCTTTTCCTAAGCAGTATCCACTTTATAGGCCACCAGCACAGTGGTCATCAATGCTAGGTGAGTGAAGTACGTACAGTTTTAAGAACAGACGAATCTCTTCAATACTGTGAATCTCTCTCTCTCGCTCTCTCTCTCTTTTTTTTTTTTTTTGGTCTTAACATTCAGTTTTAAGTACAAAAAGAAAGAAAATAGCCAGAGATACTAGAAATGAAATGCAGAAATTGCAGTGTCCTCAGTGCTTTCAAAATCGCTTTCAAAATCTGCAACTGTTTTCATTTGCCTTCTGTTTTCAATTGGCTACAGCTGAAATAAACAGTGATAGGTTGAATGTTTTTGTGTCCACTCATTTTTATACACAATTGCTTTTTAACCTCAGAAATAAAACAGAGAAGTTGAAGAACAAAGGACAATCTAAAACAGCCTTTTATGTCATGCAATGTATTCACTCAAATAGGTGTTACTCATAGTTCTGACTACAGCATGTGGAAAAAAAATGAATATGCCAGCAATGGTGTTCGTGATTTTGCTGAAAAGGGTGAAGCATGGGTATTAATGAAGGAAATAGAAGAAGCTGGAGAGAAAATTCAAAGTGTGCACGGAATCTTCTCTGCTCCTGCCATTTCCAGTGGTACAGGACAAACATCCACTGAATTAGAAGTGCATTCAAGACATCCCTTAGTAAGTAATTAACATATTGATTTTAAAGGTTTATTTCATGTCACAAGTAGACAAAATTAAATATTTGAATTCTCATTGGTAAAGAACAATGTAATGCAATTATGTTACATCCAAAATGCAAGGAGCTCTGTACAGTTCTTATAAAGTAGAGAGTAAAACAAAGCGTTACTTTTGAAAATTCTAAAATAAGACTACTATAAATATGACTGTAACATTTCAAAATAAATGAGATGGATCATTCTGTTTCATTAGGTTTCCTTTGTTGTACGAATTGTGCCAAGCCCCGACTGGTTTGTGGGTATTGACAGCCTAAATCTTTGTGGTGGAGACCACTGGATGGAAGAAGTGTCAGTAGATCTATTTCCATATGATGCTGGAACTGACAGTGGTTTCACATTTTCCTCCCCAAATTTTGCCACCATTCCACAGGACACAGTTACAGAGGTAGGTGTATGTGCAGGATCTATCATATCACACTATATACTTCAAGTGTTCCCCTTAAGAGATTAACTATTTTGTGATTTATACAGTAGGCTCTCTTTCTTGCAATTCTGATTTTAGTATTTGGGAGAGCTAAATAATGATTTGCTACACACCTGATAACTCTGTGGCTTTTACTTTCTATGTCTCTTAAATTCATCTAGGTAAATGTAGATATATTATGAACATTTGGCCTACATTTAAAATAATTAATGTAAAGTATGAATATTTTAAGATGATTTTTAACATCATAAATAAGGAAAGGATAAGGAAATTAAAATAGTCACAAAAGTCCAGTGAGGACTAAATATTTATCTGCATATATTTACATACAGGAAATTTCATAGAAAAGTAGAAATTAGAGAACTCTTGTATGTGTTGACGTGGGGTGGGAGTTTTTGGTTTAAAAAAAAAAATTGCTGAAACCTGAAACTTAGATTTGAGGGAAGGGAGCCAAGAGAAAGCAGGGAAGAACTTTTTGCTGCTATAGCAGTACTGTCACTTACAATCTCTTTTTCTCACTCGAGATTCTCTATACCTCATACTTTGCTTTTTGTCATTTAAAAGTGGTAGGAAACATGTTTTGAATATTGGCATTTGGCTGTAGAAAAGTTGAATTTAAACATGAAAAAGGACTGTGTGAATGCCTGTCTGAAAACCAGCTACATTTGACCTCCTATATCCATATGACAGTAGCTATAGCACATTTAATAATATCATTTAATACTCTTGTAAATTCTATCATTTTCCACCTTGTAATAATACCCACTTTTCCCTTCGAACCATTTCATATGTTTCAATACATTAACAAAGGTTGTTACAATTCATTGTGCTCACTTCCCATAGTATTTTGCACCATGGACCTGGGATTACCTGCAGTAATTTTGTAATTTTGGGCTTATAAACTGGTGCATTTTACTTGCCAAGAAGTATCACACAATGTGTCAAATACAGTGCTATTAATATGATGATGAAATTCATTTGAGGTTCCCTTTTTCATTCACAGATCACTTGTTCCTCTCCAAGTCACCCAGCAAATTCATTTTATTATCCCAAACTCAAAATTTTGCCACCTATTGCTCAAGTAACAATGGTGAAATTAAAGAAAAATCAACTGGGCCTTCCTGTTTCTCATCTCAATTTGCCAGCTAAAAGCAATGAAATAATAGAGTCTATGTCAGGTGAGTGATTATTAATTTGATATGCTCTATTCTATTTTTTTCCAGTCATTCAGAAAATATGTGGAAATCTGGCAGGTTATGTGGATGAAATAGTCTGGAAATTATTTCTATGCATATAGAATATTCATCCTAACCAACTAACACATAGGAAATAAAACAAGCAAGTTGACATGAAGGAGAGTATCTGAAAGAAACACTAAGGGATGAATTTCCTATCTGAGCTAGATAGCTAGCTAAATGTTTGGGTTAGATCCACAGTGAGGGTTACTCAGGTCTTAGTGTCAATGTAGATCTGAGAACTTTATGAGAAATAAATAATATTTGATCAGATAGACCTTTGTTTATTTTGAAGTAAATACTTCTCTATGGGTTTTTGAATGATGGTAGAGGAAAAAGTATTATTGTTGCCTCTCTCTAGGTCAGAGGGTTTGAAGTAAGAATCGAAATAATTCAGTTAATTGACCTTGATATATTTATGATAGCAATGCACATGTCCACATAAAAAAAGATTTCTCTCTCTCTCTCTCTCTCTTTTTTTTTGCTTAAAAATCTAGGATATAACCCCTTTTATTTAGGTAGGAGAATATACAAACTACTGACTCAAGTCAGTTTTAAATGTCATTTTTAAACCTTCAGATCAACTACTACGATGTTTGTTCTGAGAGATGGACAGCAGATGGATATTGTCTACCTGGATATTCTCTTTACCTATTGGCTTTTTATAAAGCAAATGTTAATATAATAGAAAAGATTAAGAAGACTGACAGCCCAAATCCTATATGAGAGAGCAATGGGCTAAATCCCCAGGGCATTCTTAGAAATGTCTTCTCCAGAATGAAGATTGCATGTCAATAGCTCCATGTTTAATTCACCTCACAATCAGTAAAATAAAGGTCATTCTCTATGCAGATTGGAACAGGAATATTTGGCGCTACTTAGGGTATGGAGTTAAAGCAATGTATTTAAAATACGGTATTTCAAAAACCATTACTAATTATACATCCCCACTGGAATGTGTATTAACCAGTAAATTAGCCTATTCAAAACCTTATTTCAGAGGCAGAAGGGCAGATTAAATTACTGGAGATCAAATCATGTCCCTCACTGTCACTAGAAGCACAGGAATCAGTGACTACAACAGAAGCAGTTAGTTCCATTTTAAGAGGAAGCACAGTGACAGAAATTTATAACAGAGGTCACATATTCAGTACACCAATTAGAGCTGGGTTTGTGCACAGCTATTTTATCCTCTAGTGCTGTAATAAACAGTACTGACACAATTTCTTCTGACAAGTACTATTGTTATTTAACCTGCTAAGTTACAAGCATCTGTATTTTCATGAGAGATATTTACAAGTATATAGTATGTAGCATACTTTAGACTTTCTGGCTTCTTTGGATGCAATAAATAAAAGGACTTTCAATGTACTTTTAATTATTTTAAAAAAAAAAGGGATATCTTTGTTGGTGATGAGAACTGCAGTGCACCTACCAAGAAAATAGCAAGATGGTAAAATGATAAAAGAATTTCATTTTCTTTACTTGTGAAGCAAGTTGGAGAAAGAGTTAAATGGAATTTGATAGACAAAGTTCCCTAAGCTTATCTAGGAAGAAATCCAAGTTTATATAAAAGATCCAAGATCCATAAAAGCTCTAATTCCAGTGTTCCCTAAGCTTATCAAATTCCATTTAACTCTATCTAGGAATAAATCCAAGTTTATATAAACGATCCAAGATCCATAAAAGCTCTAATTCTGATGTTTTTAGTTAGCCATGCAATTGTTTGAATGCTGTCATTTCAAATGCACCTTTCTTCGATGTCAATTTTATAATTTTAATTCAATAAATAATAGCTACACTCACTGATTTAGTACCTCAAACAGTTTGTAGACTGCAATAATAACAAAATAAATATCCATGAGTTCAAGATCTGAAAACATTTGTTTTTCTTTATTAGACAACATATGGATTTTATTAATATCATGTGTGCCATGTGCTCTAGGTTACCCTGCGTGTGCAGCGGGATTGGACTAGATGACCTCTAGAGGTGCCTTCCAACCTTAAGCATTCTATGATTCTATGATTGCTGTTTAAGAAAGGCCACTACTTGACCATCATTCCTTAATGCCCTACCAACTATGTGTTTGCCTTAAGCACAAATTTCTGTAAAGTTACCTTTATTCTTGTGCATATTGCAGAGACACCCCTGGACTGTGAGGTTTCACAATGGTCTTCATGGGGCCTGTGCAGAGGCCCTTGTGGAAAAACAGGGACCAAGATCAGAACGCGCTTTGTACTTCTTCAGCCTGCCAATGACGGAACTCCCTGTCCAGATCTGGATGAAGAAACAGGATGTGAACCAGATAATTGTATCTGAAAGAAAGAACAGATAATAATTTAGATAATTTAAAAGTAGGATAAGTTTAAATAAATTTAATCTACATGTCAGTCAATGTTCCTTCTAATTCAGGTATGCTGTACTATTTTTCTGAGGGGGAAAAAAAAAGGTATTTTAGGCTGGTTTGGAAAGTTGTTTTATCTCAAGATTTTTTTTTGGGGGGGTAAATTCTTAAGGTTTAGTATAACAACAGTACTTGATCATTTACAGACCAAAAAAAAGACAAAATAAAGCCATGTTATAAATATACTGTAAGTTCTTGGAGTACCCTCTAGTGGCAGAAAAGAAGACATTTGGAAAGACTGTAGTTCACATATCAAAAAATCTTTGAATCATAAAATCTAAACTAATATGTTCTTAAGTACTATAATCTGTTGATTTAAAGCTATTTATACCTAGAAATCTAATTTTTTCTCTAAATTATGTTTATTATAATTTATTGGCGTTTCTGTTGTCTTTCTAAACATGTCTAATGTGCATTACATCAGAAACTATCTACATTACTCAGAGTGATCAGATGTTTCCAGTATCATTATGACAATAAGGTAATGAAGGAAATGTGTTTTGAGTCTTATGAATGCATGAAAAGTTGTGGGTTTTTTTTTTTTCTTCTGAGAGAAGAATGAGAAGAATATCTACCATTAGGACACTTAGCCAAGAAAATTACAAGCAGAAATCAGAAGTTTGAATACTGGTAGAAGAATCCTAAACATAATTTATAGTGTTTAGATGTGATTTAAAAAAATGACTAATTGTTGTTGTGAATCTCTCCTGGGACAATTGTCTCCAAAATAATCACTAGGAAGTTAACACTGCAGACCGTAACATAAATTATATCATTCTTGTTATATATGCAATAAATGTGTCCGTGTTTCTTCACATGTGTTTGTTGTTATTTGTGTAATCAGGATCTTTGTATAGAGAAAACTACAAAGGTGTTAAAATTAACTGAAACTAAAGTATATACAACTATAAGTAAATATAATACTTCAGAAACTGCTCCAGCCTGCAACTTTTAATGTTCAGACAATCCTTTGTTGGAAAAAGAAGGTCTCGTGACTCACAGTCTTGGCTACCACCTCGGTAGGAACCACCACCACTACCACCAGGCTTTCAAAATAAGAAATTAGAGTGGAAAATGCTGTCAGCTAACAAAACTTTTATTCTAGCAAACTCCAGTTCTATGAAGATACAGTGTACTGAATGAGAGATACTGGACTATGTAGGTTCATTTTGAAATATTTTAAATACCAAAAACTTTATTATTCATGTCAAGGGACCCAATGCATTATCTGAGGGTAAAAGCATTTAGACTGTTCTTTATATTTTGTTTCAGGAGAAAAATCTTGCAAAGTCCCAAAGAAATTCAAACTTTATCAGCTTAATGTAAGCTGATCTACAAACATGGAGGAATATACAGCTGTTAGAGCTAAGAATAGGAAATTCTAGCTAGTATTTCTACATGGCTTGCATTCTTCAGATTTCCCCTCTTGTCCGTTTTGCAAACTGATTCACTTTTCACTTGAAAAGGAAATGAATATGCAAAGGGACAACACATTCAGGAAACTCCAGTTAGTGATAAATAACTTTCTTTAAGGGAAAAAGTTTCCTATTGAGTCAGTTCCCTAGTTGCTGATCTGAGAGAAGAGCCCTTCCTTACTTTTCCCTTTTATCCAGTGCTACAGATAGCTGGCAGACAAGATACTATGGTCCTAGCCAGACAAGATTTAGGGAAGGAAACAGGTAAATTCATTTCTATCTTAAACTAATCTCAGAAAACACTTCAGAAAGAAAAATAGATTGGATCTGTAAAGATGCTTTGTTTTTTAAGTAAGAAGGTTATGTAGGAAGAAGAATCAGCTATATGGGCAGATACTGTTGCAATGATGGAAGACACCTTTAGAGGTAAGCATAGTGGCAAAATTTACCAGAGATTTGAATGGGGGTCTTACATAAATTATGACACAAAATTAAATTCCCAGAGTGCAAGAGGGTAATTGACTACTGAGAAAAAATTGTCCAGTGCTTAAAAATAAATTTAAGGACATTTAGCTGTGAATACATCAAAGCTTATCTGACAACTGAAGTGATGTCCACATTTATGATTTCCTATAGGCTATGGCTTCCCTTCAGACATCCAGAGAAGCAGCTTAGTGTTTACTGA